GAAATTAAACAGTGCGAAAAAACAACTTTAGATGAGTTTCGTGACGGTTCGTAGGTTACAAGTAAATAAATAATAATAAATATTTCCAACACTCACACCAATTAGCCTAGTCCCAAAGTAAGCACTGCAAGGCATGTGTTATGGGATACTAGGGTAACGGATAGAATACATATACAGTACATATAGAAGTATATTTATAAAGAAATACATATTAAACATCATGACTGGAGTACAAATGATCGTATTCATCACACACACATCTGCCCCCACCGGGATTCAAACCCAGGACCTCTCGTGTCGGCGAAAACATGAAACCCAGCGTACAAGGTACAACTAAATGTATTTATGCTTTATTAATTATTCTGAGAGTAATTTACTCTCAGAAACATCAGGTCATCAGTGTTGCTAACTCGGATTTTTAAAGGGAGCTAGATCATATCTAAAAAAAGCTAAAAAAGAGTTAGATTTTTGGGCTAAATTATTTTTATGTACCATTTATTAAAAATCAATATGAACAACGTTTGTAATGGATTCGGGATCACTTTTATTTATTTTGGCTAAGGTCGAAACTATTTCAAATCTATTTTTGCTGTAATACTGCACTACTAACCGAGCAGTTTAGTTACACTGATATCAGTCTCATTTAATAGCAAATTGAATGGTCCATCGCCTATATCTCTTTTTAATTCGGTTATAAAATGCGGACTCGGAACAGTCTTTATGGTAACACTACATTTTGTTCTGTGTGATTTTAAGTTTTCGGCATCTTTGAATTGTTTATTACATAGTACACCAAGGCGATTGACAGGTAATATTGAAGTATGAGCGCTTATAAAAAGGGCCAATGATCCTTCAGCGGAATTTGTCCCAGAATCAATTTTCGGTTTCGGAGAAAAACTTAATTTTGATTATCCCGCTGAAAATGGTTGCGCGCTACTCTAAGCTGTATTTTTCTTTTTATATGATTAAACTAGCGCCCCGCCCTCGCTTCGCTTCGGTGTAGAGCTAAAGTGTAGACTCCAGTTTTTGTTTTCAGACATGTATTATACACAATGACATTCATCTATGATTCTTTTATACCTGCATGCAGTCTCAGCCCGATCGGTTTAAAATTGACAAAGTTTCATACAAACTTTCATTCCCTATTTTATCCTCTTGGGGGTAGAATTAATCAAAATCCTTTCTTAGCAGATGCCTACGTCATAACATCTACCTGCATGCCAAATTTCAGCCCGATCCGTCCAGTGGTTTGGGCTGTGCGTTGATAGATCACTATGTCAGTCAGTCAGTCACCTTTGAGTTTTATATATATAGATAAATCGCCTTTTTTAGAATTAAACTCGCATTTGCAGTGGGTGCCATCATATAATAACTATAGACCGACCATTTCTTGCCGGTTCTTCTCAGTACAAGGTCTCCCGCCGTAGATTTGCGAACCGATGGCATAGCTTTTCGACATTCACAAGTGCTTGTAACAGCCTAGACTGAATAAACGATATTGAATTTTGAATTTCGTAAACAATGTAGGTATATTTTGACTAGGGAATCAAGTATTTTGAGCTAAAAATAATACAAAAGGATTTATTCATAGTGTAAATGGAAAAAAGCTTAAGTTGGTAACACTGCTGGTCATAAATGTATGATTTTCATCATCGTCTACCTTCAAACTGGGAGATAGACTGAAACAATAACTAAATCTAACAACTGCAGATAATTTTTGTTCCCAGAAGAGCTGTGACAAACAAATGTTTATCTGAAAAAGTTGAATATTTTCTTACGATCAAATAATCACTGAAAAGCTTTTATCTACTAAACTTTTCTATTGCTTGTTTGTAATTATATAAAATAATTAGGGCTTTGCTTAATATTTTACAATAGAGAAAAAAATAAGTAGAGAGAAAAAGTAGATTTAGATTGTAATTATAAATTGTTGGTGATATTATTGGCATTTCAAGTTTGTCTATTATATCTTTGGAGAGATCTCCTGATATATAAAATTGTCGTGTCACAGTGTTTGTAACAAAACTTCTGTCCGAAATGGCTTAACCGATTCTTATGATTCTTTTGTGTATTTTCGTCTATTCCTATCCTAGTGGGTCTGAGAGCAGGACGTAAACTTTTTTACTTCATTTCAGACGTGGGAACTTTGTTCGTGGAGGACAAAAAAATGACCGCCGAGAACTTGTCACGGACTCAACGCACACGATGTGCGAACATTTTGTTGCCCGGAAATTTAGAGAAAATAGTCTGAGATTACTTGGCAGTGTAATTTAAATAAAGTTTAAAAAAAGATCGTTTTAAAAGCAAATACTGGAACCATCCCTTTATATTGGATCGAGCGCGCAACGCAGCGAAAGTTCACTGTGTTGTTGATGTGGCTTACATGAGTTCTATTTTTTTCGAGCACTCCCGCTAATGACTCCCCCGTACTCCTTCCGGTCTTTCGGCGTCCTTGGTAGTTCGGGGGACTTTTTGTCCGCGGGACTTTTGCGTTACTAGATGTAGTTGAAAGCGACCTACACCCCTCGTCTGCGCAAGCCATAAGAGATAATAGAGATAAACATAAATAATTTTTGTTCAATTTTAATTTTTTAGTGAATCGACATGGAAAAATACATACAAACTTATATTTTCACCCTACCAAACCTCTATTTTTATGGCGGTATGAAGTTCGCTGGGTCAGCTACTAATATAGAAAAGGCTTGCATGTATTTTGAGTTTATCTTATCAAAAGAGGAAATCAATGCTCATATTACTCAAACACCATTATTAAACTATTTACCTAGGGAAGACGTATATACTTAGAACTTAGTAACTCGATATAGCCATATAAACAAACCTCATAAGAATTCGACTAATATCAAATATACAGACGTCCGTTTTAGATCTGAGATCATAATAAAGATACATTACAGAAGGTATTCCAAAGAAAAGCAACAATTAATAAATACATTTACTGAACAAGGCCTGTATTCATTAAATGACAATTGTAAGGGTTTGCTACGCCATATCGAATGCCAGTTCATCCATTCGATCGATATTTTAATAAGTCTATTTTCAATAGATCGCTGTGACATTAAAACGAAATTTCAAAAAATCGATTTTCAATACATGGTTGTGATATTAAATCGAAATTTAAATGCTTATCGTGGATCTTGTTTTGCCAAGAGAAGCATTAGGTACAAGGGATGACTGCCTTTAAAACCAATTTTGTATGTGAAAAAAACATATATCTCGAAAAACATCTAATGGTAATGTAATTATATACAAACCGCCGCCAATATTTCCATTGACTTTATGGTCAATAACTAGCAATGTGTCGTCAAATTTACCAAGGAGTTAGAATAACGCAGAAGCCTGGCATCGACGATGGAATACGCTACTTGGTAAACATGACAAAATACGTCGAGTGGGGTATCACTGTCTAGATAATCGAAAATCATGTTTAGGTTCGTAACACCATTTTTTATTTTATATGATTGTTTAGGATCTACAACGCTTTAAAGTTGTATATTAACCACTTGCGCTTTTAATTTCAATCTTACGTTTGCATGGATCTTTGTTACTCTCTCACCTAAGAAATACTGAATGGATTTTATTGAAACTTAACAGTAATATAGCTCATATATGATAATAACATATATATAATAATTTATGTAGTTATTGAGTGAATTGGCCAAAATATAACAATAAGTGTCACATAAGATGGAAAAAAAATCTCTCATCTGCGAGCCATTTTGGCCTGCACTGCAAAAACAATAAAAGTTACATGAATGTTACAAAAAAGGTTTACTTAATATGATGACAAATAACCCATTTTTCGCTAGTAGGTACATACTTATTGGAATCCCTGTATTTATTAATCAGCTCGCGATAATATTGGTTTTGTAATTATAAACGATAATTCTGCAAAATTCAAAGTAAATAATATAGATTTTTATAGGTAAATCACCCTTTTCTTTATGTATATATCACCCTACGCCTATAAGTATTGCGATGTTGTAGCTAAGAACCAAGTACCCATCTACTTCTATAGGGGAATACATTATAATTGATTTAGCTATTAGGGCACGGAAGCGCAACAAACATACTCACTTTCCCATCTATAATATTATATTATACTTACTAGTGATCCACCCGGGCATTGTACGGGTGAAATTTATTTTATCGGGATAAAGTATAGCCTATGTCACTCGGACAAAATGTGTTTAAATAAAGGAAAATGTAATAATAAATAATGTAGCTACCTTATGATGAATTTATATTTGTAACCGGTTCAGTAGTTTGACAGATTATTTGTTACAAACATACAAATCTTGCCTCTTTATAATATTAGTATAGATAGTAAGGATAATAGTATTTAATTGTTGAAAAAGATTGAAAAATAAAGTACCGCAAGGTACTTAATAATTCCAGCGATATTAATTCCCTTACAGAAGTAACGAGACTATCGTTATATACCGTCTTAAAATACTAACTAACTAAAAAGTGTGAAATAAAAAAGGTAAATTTAAAAAATCAAAAAACCCGACTGCTTAATTATACTTCAAATAAAAACTGAAAAGAAAAAAACAAGTCCAGTAGTCTATAATTCTGTTAATAAGGAACAAAGCTACTTTAACAGTCGGGACCCATTATTGAAAAATATTATGTATTCTTGAATATCTAATGGGTTCCGACTGTTAAAGTAGCTTTGTTCCTTATTAACAGAATTATAGACTACTGGACTTGTTTTTTTTCTTTTCAGTTTTTATTTGAAGTATAATTAAGCAGTCGGGTTGTTTGATTTTTAAATTTACCTTTTTTTTATAATCTAGCACTCCTACAAAATAACCCACTTACGATTATTTTCACTTGGGTTTTATTTATCTCTGGTGTGGAGGCCCCTCTCTTGTGGAGGCCCCTGGGCCACAACCCCACCTGCTTTGCACCCCCGCCTGCCCTGCCTTAAATCGGGCCCTGCTGGCACATGTTTCACGAAGATGTTTTCTACTTTCCAGGTCTCACAATGTACGGACTGCTACTAGAAAACATGGCGGAGTACATCCGCCAGACGTACGGAGAGGAGAGATGGGAGGACATCAGACGGCAGGCGGGCGTCGAGCAGCCGTCGTTCTCCGTGCACCAGGTGTACCCCGAGAACCTGATCACCAGGCTGGCGAAAAAGGCACAAGAGGTGATGCAACCTTTTTCTAGGCAATGGCGGACCGTCAAATTTTACTGACTGACACTGAATGACAACATTTAGACATTTTTGTTACGGGGTTTATCTCAAAATCTAAATTAATTAAGTGTGGTTTATGATGTCCCAAATGCTGTATTGAAACGAAAGTAAGTTGTCCATGGGACCCATTAGATATTCAAGAATGGATAAACATTTTCAATCCATCCATCCATCCATCAGCCTTTCTCCGTCCACTGCTGGACATAGGCCTCCCTCATAGAACGCCACAATGCGCGGTCCTGCGCTATCCGCATCCAGCGGCTCCCAGCATATTTGACGATGTCGTCAGTCCAACTTGTTGGGGGCCGCCCCACGCTGCGTCGTCCGGTACGTGGTCGCCACTCGAGGACCTTTCTTACCCAACGGTTGTCAGATCCTCGAGCGATGTGGCCTGCCCATTGCCATTTCAGCGTGCTAACTCTTCGGGCTATGTCGTACACACCGGTCCTTCTACGGATCTCCGTATTTCGGATCTTATCACGTAGGGAAACACCGAGCATAGCCCTCTCCATAGCACGCTGCGCGACTCTGAGTTTTGTTATGAGGCCGACATTCAGAGACCACGTCTCAGTCCCATAAGTCATCACTGGTAACACACACTGGTCATAGACCCTTCTTTTCAGGCACTGGGGAATTTTGGCCGTGAGGATGTGCCTAAGCTTCCCGAACGCTGCCCATCCGAGTTGGATTCGTCGGTTGACCTCTTTCTCGAAGTTGGATTTGCCCAACTGCACTGTTTGTCCTAGGTAGACATAATGATCGACAACTTCGAGAATCGCATTCCCAACAGATACTGGTGCTGGAGTGACATGGGCATTGAACATGACCTTGGTTTTATCCATGTTCATCCTTAAACCAACTCGTTGGGAAACTCTGCTGAGGTCATTGAGCATTGTGCCAAGGTCCTCCAGGGATTCTGCCACGATGTCGTCTGCAAATCGAAGGTGAGAGATGTATTCGGCGTTGATGTTGATGCCGAGTCCGGTCCAATCCAGAAGCTTGAAGACGTCTTCCAATGCAGCGGTGAACAGTTTCGGGGAAATCACGTCCCCCTGTCTGACACCCTTCTGCAATGGAATCGGTTTCGTACTTCTCTCCTGGATTCGGACTGACATAGTGGCGTTTCTATACAAACATTTCAACACTTCGATATATCGAGAGTCAATTTGGCACCGCTGGAGGGACTGCAGCACCGCCCAAGTCTCGACCGAATCGAAGGCCTTCTCATAGTCCACATACGCTAGACACAGAGGCCGATTATACTCCTCGGTCTTCTGTATGATCAGACGCAGCGTATGTATGTGGTCCATGGTACTAAAGCCCTTTCGAAAACCGGCTTGTTCGGGAGGCTGGAAGTCGTCGAACCTGCGCGAAAGTCGATTTGTAATTACTCTCGAAAACAACTTATAGACGTGGCTCAAGAGCGAGATAGGTCGATAGTTCTTCAAGCGGGTTTTATCGCCTTTCTTGAAAAACAACACCACCACGCTTCTGGTCCACGCCTCTGGAACAATGCCCCCGAGGATGACAGAGTCGAATAGCTTCTGAAGGGCCACGAGGACCGGCTTACCGCCCGTCTTCAGAAGCTCCGTAGTGATTCCGTCATCGCCCGGTGCTTTACTGTTTTTAAGCTGCTTGAGAGCCATTCTGATCTCGTACAGGCTGACATCCGGGATGTCCTCGGTATAGATACATACATATACATTTTCAATAATGGGTCCCAGCTGTTAAAGTAGCTTTGTTCCTTACTTAACAGAATTGTAGACTACTGGACTTGTTTTTTTTAAGTTACATTTTTTTAAATGGTCTCGAACTGAAAAATAATTATCTTGCAAATACAATGTTTCACTTGATGTTCGTTTTTAACCGACTTCAAAAAGCAGGAGGTTCTCAATTCGTCCTTAAATGTTTTTTATTGTTCTTCGCGCATCTCTTCGAGACGTGTGGACCGATTTTGATGATTCAAACTTGTTTGAATCCGATTTTTGGCGAAATGGTCCCGTATTAATTTGGTGAGGATCTGATCATAACTTTCGGAAAAAATTATGGACTCCTCAATTACAAAAAGTACTTAATTCGTGTTTAGTTATTTTAAAGAGATTATGCAGGCCGAGTACCAATGTAAGTTGATCTAGCTCAGGCTTATAAAAAGTGTAAAATAAAAGCCTTTTTACCAATGTGAAAACCGACTACTAAAAAGAAGAAATAATGCATATTCTTTACTTATTTCATTTTAAATAATTAAATAACTATAAAAAATCACATATTAAGTGAAAATATTGATACAAAATTTTTAATTAATTTACCTTGGGGATAACAGCGTATTTTTTTTAGTTGAAATAAAAAAAAGAGTTTACATTTAAAGTAAAAAATAATTAGAAATCATGCGTATTGATAGATCCGAGATGCCATTTACTGCTAGGGTTGGCTCGGATTTGTCTTTGGATTTTTCAGGTCCTATCTAATTCATTGTACATAAAGTCGTGAACTATTTGGTCCGATTTGAATAATTCTTTTTATGTTGGATAGTATATTTATGGAGGAAGGTTAAAAGCTATATTACATAAAGTTACAACCAAAAGGAGCGGAGCAACATTGAAAATCTTGCAAATACGCGAAAACATATTCCATTTGAGACCTTCCGCTGCATAAAATACAAAAATCATGTATGAAGTTCAGTTTTTATATGAAGTAATATTATAGCAGTCGGGTTTTTTGATTTTTAAATTTATCATTTTTATTTTACACTTTTCAGTATTATAAGATGGCATATACCGTAGTCTTGTCACTTAAGTAAGGGAATTAATATCGCGGGAATTATTAAGTACCTTGCGGTGGTTTTAGACTGATTGATTTATTAAGACATAGAGGCCTTACCAGCAGGGTCAGGGCCTCAATATTCGCAAAAATGTGTAGTTACTCGTAAATCAAGTCGTTACTTATATATCTAATGCCTATAAATTTTATAATTAACTATTACTTATTCAAAATGTGATCATTTGCTTATGTTCTTTTTAGTAGTTTAGAAGTAAATATAAAATTCATTTACTTTTATTCGCCGACTACTTATCTAAAATTGGCAGTGGCTGCATTATCATATCAAGATTATGATATACAAAAATACAGTGTCATATCCTAGTCTCATATTATGATATACCAACATAATTCATAGAAACCAAATATGTAGACGCCAGAGGTTAACTTTAAATATTTTTAATCACGCTATATACAATACCAATCAATAACGTTAATGTCGGAAGTTGACGAAAGGAATATTTCCCATCTGTTGTGTTTGACTGGTGGCAACTGCCTTAGATCGTTAAATTAAATAATTATGGAATCACCAAAACAAAGTTTATAATATTTGATTTTGCAGAATAAAATTTTCATAGCGTTAGGTACAGCACCATAGCAATCCCATTTATTATCAATTTGTCCTTGTTTTTTAAAGCGTTCACCAGTTACAGGTCGCAGACTTTCTGGTCTATCCTTTTTATTGGTAGTGTAAAGCTCGAATGAAGAGTACTTCCACCTATCAATCGGGCTGCTACCAGCCTAGTAGGTATTACAAATGGTGCAATCATAAAAATTATTTTCCAATTAATTTTTCTACTTATAGGCAAAATAAGAATAAGTATGTATAAATTACCGAATAATGATTCACTGTTTACCAAAAAAGCTCATTAACTTTTACCAATATAATCAAATAAACCTACTACTAATATTTTTAAATCTTTTGCATCTATTACATATTATTATCCTTACTAATGTTATAAGGAGGCAAGAGTTGTATGTTTATAACAAATAAAATCTATCAAACTACTGAACCGATTTCGAAAATTTATTCATCATAAGGTAGCTACATTATTTATTATTCTATTTTCAAGCAATAATCTCAATATCGTTGATTAATCTGCTCGATTTATAAATATAAAGAAAATTTTACTTGAAATAATCCACTCTGACAACTTCTCCGAGAGGAATTTTTTCTAGTATTTTTTTTATAACATTTTATCCAAGTGACATAGGCTATATTTTATGCTGGGGTGGATCACTAGTAAGTATAATATAATATTATAGATGCGAAACTGGAGTTTGTTTTTTACTTTTCCGCGCCCTAACAGCTAAATCGATTACGATGAATTTCCCTATAGAATTAGATGGGCCTTGGTTCTAAGCTACAACATTGCAATACTTACAGGCATAGGGTGATGGAATGGGTGATTAAGCTATAAAACGTTATATTATTTACCTAGAATTTTGCAGAATTATCTATCGTTTATAACAAAACCAACATTACCGCGAAAATTAATAAATACAGGGAGCCATTAAATAAAAAAAAATAGGTTATTTCTCATTATGTTAAGTAACTCTTTTTTGAAACATGATGTAATATCGTTAAAATAAAATTTAAAAACAGTATAATTCTGAGGTTTTCATTAAATTATCATAAATACCTAATATGATAATTTATTTTTCATCATTTAATAAGAAGGAACTGTATCACAGTTTTATTATAAGTACTTCATAAAGGATTAGATACTGTGAGTAGCCCATTTTTTTCTTTTTCGCCTAGGTTTTATCTACGTTTATAAGCAGCAAAATTCTTATCCCACTTTGCCCGCAGTCTACTACTGCATAGTACACGCGCTATCACTTTTTCATCGTTGCAACTTTTTAAATATTTGTCGGAATGCCATAGTGTAAAAGGCAAACTTTATCGTCTTTAAATATCAAAAGCGATAAAAGTATTTATTTTGATAAAAAATAATTTGTAAATACCAAATGTGCATTTTGGAAATGGAGATCAAATAATATTTTATGTATTTTAGATTCACTATTTTAGCGATAATGGGTTGTACATTAAAAATGTATGGTGTCGCGGACTTTTTTGTAGAACTTTTTAAGAAATACATTTTCACTTTACTTTATATTCATGTAACTTTTATTGT